GGTCGAATTAAGGGTCACCCTAGTGGAATCTAATGAACCCTTAGTCGCTGTAGCCATCCTGAGAAGTGCAAGCCAGATAAAACAAGTTGAAAAACACCCTCAGTGAAGGCTCCCAAGATTTATGCTCGACACACAGTTGGAATATCCTCATGTAAGTCTGAGAATTCAGATGAAGTTGGGAAGGACCATCCTTTAAATGCTTCAAGATAGACACTTTGAAATTAGTGAAAGTCAACCACAATCCTATTCTAGTAAACATATACTCATGAAAAACACCACATATTTGTCATAAGAGTTACATATCCTCTTCTATGAGCCCACTGGAAGGATCGACCAATCTTGAGGATCATCGACCACAATGTCGATAACCTCTATTGTTACTTCGGTATTCAGGGTAGACGGGATATCTACCACCTTGGCCTCCATCCAACCATACTTCAATGCATCTATTGGCTCCACTAACGCCAATCCTTTATGATCTAGATGGTCAATTTTAGAATGTTCGCCGGGTGTGATCCAAGACACAAAATATGACCTACCCCGAAGATCCCAATAGGTTTTCACCTCACTATCGTTAGGTTCTCAGTTATTGATCCTCAGGAAGAGTTGAACATAATTACCAACGTGTTCCCTCATCCACTTGAGGGCATGTATTTCCTCCCCATTCAGAACGGGGGGTGGGGGGCATGCAAACTTCAATACAATTACCCTCTTTATTGTCATCTGATAAGAGGGCTTTAAATGAGTCAAACTAAGAAGCTTCTTCCTCCAGGAGGTTCCCAGATGCCCTTTGTGAGTCATAATCATCAAATAAAGACACGACCTCCAATTCTAGGAGATCGTGAGCAAGGAGATGGAGGTGAGAATATGGGGATGTCTTAATTCTCGTGGCAGGATAAGTACCTCTCTCTGAATCACTCAATATGTTAGAAGTATTATCCATCATCTTGACTAATAAAACAAGAAATGTTGAAGGTAAAATCTTGAAGAAAGAAGGATACCTAGTTATAAGACATAAACACTTATAGGAAGGTTACAATCACTAATGTACACCTTCTAGAAGAAAGAGGAAAATATGTTTACTAATAAAGGGAACTTGAAGGCCAAGGACAGTGAAAAGTTTTTCAGTGCTCAATTCCCACTTATTTATAAGTAGGAGATAATTGACTGACCCATACTTGTAGTAGAAAGAGGTATGGAATCAACAACTGAAGTTCTCCTTGAGAATAAATGCAAACTCGAGTGCACTTTAAGCCACACCATGCCCTAACTTATCGCATCATCACACATGTAAGAAAAAGGATATGAAGCTTTTTAGGGATATAAATTCATTTAATGCGCTTGTTTCCTACTACTTTCTCAACTGAATCCAAACATTTCAGTTCTCTCATAATTAGACAACATTCTTAGAGACCGACCAAAATCATTAAAGGCTTCACTGGCTCCCTTAGTTCTAGAAAAAGCCTCTAGGAAAACCGTTCTAGGCCAACCAATGGCTCAAATAGCTAAGGCATAGTTCCCCTCAAATCCACTGCACCTGACCCAAGATATAAAACCAGCTTACCCGAAAAGTAAGATACTTTTTTAATATCCACTTTTTTATACACTCTTCTTGAATCTTGAACTGAATTGAAGGTTCAAGTGCTAACCATGCAGCCTCCCTCACCCCCCCACGTTGCCTGAAGTGAGATCACCACCACTGATTCAAGATCATCAATTCGTCAAATACTTTCAATTATGGTTCCCGAACAGAACAAATTTAATTAATATTTCATCCACCACTCTCAATTTAATATTTTAAACTATATTGATTTCATATTAAAATCAAGAATCAATGAAAGGTTGGATATGAAAATTACACAAGAGTTTCTGATACGATGGTTAGGGTTTCTCGTTGAACATAAAAGGTGCCTGTAAAATGTTAATGGTCTAACACTCAATTCAATGTTTGAATCAGGTGGAATTATGTAAGTGTGTGTCAGAGAATACTTGATCATGACTCTGAGTCACATTTATATAAAGGAGACTGTTATAGTTTTTCTTGATTTATCTAGTGAGGGGTGTAAGTAGCTATTAGATGTGATCAACTGTTGAGATGAAGAATGTGGCCATACTCTTATGCAATGCCTAAAAATAAAGGTCTAATCTTTGTGTTAGTAATATAGTGCTCTTTGTTGGATTGAGCCTATGAGTTAGGCCAGTTTTAATGGACATTTATTTAGTCTAAAATAGTTGCCCCACAGGTCATTGGTATCAATGTTTAGATGAGAGATGTTGAAGAAGGAATTAGTGTGACCGATTTGGAAAGAGGCATTGTTGAGAGATCTTTTTCCATTGAAAATTTTGAAAAGACAAAGGTTTTTAGTGGCGTTTAGTATATGTAGTTGACATTGGGAAAGTGTACACTAAATGCTCCTTATGCAGATAAAAAGTTGCTACGAGAGAGGCCTCCACGTGAATCCACTCGCGTAGGGTAGGGAAGCGACACACATGTGTACTCAAGAGTATTTATAGTTTCAAAATTTAATTTAAGTTATTGGATAAAAGAATTGATATTCTATTGAATTATGGTCGTTTAACTTGGCGACCTTCGTGCTCATAAAATGGAAACTCGAGTTTCATTTCCATTTTTGATTTTTTTTTTTCATCTCTTGTGTTCCTCCAAAGAGAGTTTAGATGTGACTTGCTTGATTCTTATTTCACTTTCTGTGTTTCAAATCATCTTGTAGGAGCTTCTCATGTATTCTTAATTCAAGTTTTCACCTACATGCATTGTTTAAGATACTTGATCATTCTTCTTTCATTTTTTTCTTCAACTTTCAATCTTCTTCGAGTATGACATACCTATGGAACTCATATCTAGATATCCCCATTAAAGACGCCAATGATGTAGAAGTATGTCATGCTAATTTCATAGTTGAACTAGAGATAGTTAATCTTAAAGATAGTGAATCTGCCCTCACTAATATAGAAATGAATGAGAGTGACAAACGGACATGTCCGCCTCGTTAGACCCGTTCTGCAAAAGCTTGCAATAAAATGGAGTGGGACGGGAATGACATAGTTGAAAATATTGGTCTAAAACCTTGGTCTGTGCGGCAAAAAAATGAGGACGAGGCAAGAAAGGCCCGCAAATATTGCATATTTTAAGTCAAAAAATATAAAATTTTATGTAAATACTCGCACCAATAAAAACCTGCCAAAAAATGAGACAGACACATTAGAGAGTGTGAACCAAAAACTTTGATCCGCCATACAAAATAGTACAGGTAAATCGAACATGCTCAACGGATTAGATCCATTTTACCACCCCTAAAAATGAGGTAGGTTGGTGCTGAGTTTGCCTTTGGTTAAATTCCGATGATTGACCCTATCCCTATAGCGAACCTCGTGGATGACCGTAATGCGCAAATTGGTTCTAGGAGTATGTAGTGTATGTTCAATTGTGAGAAGTGAGGTAATGGTTTGAGGAACGATAAGATATAATACCTTTTTTTTTGTGAACAATGAAGAATATATGAGAAACAAGCCGCCACCACGGATGCTTGAAGTACTATCGAATGATGTTATTCGATATCCATGGATGGATGAAAAAAATTTGGGACTCCATCCATCTACATTGATAACAACATATTGGAATTTGATTACAGGGAAGTGGATTTGGGAACATTTCATTGCAACTGTTTCCCTGTCCTTAATGATCAAATATAGGGATGTGAGAACATTTCATTGCAACTGATTTCCTATCCTTAATCAAATCTACAATAATGTCGTATTCACTCCAAATGGAGGAGATTTAAGTACTAGATTGAAATACACTTTACATTCTATTCATTGAAGTAGCATGAGGTATACTTCCAAAAGTCGAAGCGGATTAGCTAGCCACTGCTATAGTCATGAGAGTCAAGTATAGGGATCTCAAACGTGTTCTAGAAAAGACGAAATATTGAGTTGGAAGAGTTCAACCATTTCCATTAAATCCAACTCAACTGATCAAATTTAATTGGGACAATAAATTTATCATATATTGTTCATCAGACATTATATTCAAACAAGATATAATAGTATGACAAAGATTTGGAAGTATAGTAGTAGTTTCTTTGCGCTGGCATTAGAAGTTTAGTTGTTGATAGTGGACTTGGGTACACCACAAGATTCAAGATGCAAATAATCTAGAAACCGACATCAATTTCTGTGTAACTGAGCAACCACTACGATTCCCTGGAAAAAAACGAATGCGATTGATTGATGCCATCATTTTGTAAATTTGTACCGTCCAAAACCCCAAATGAGCGGAATCATTCCTATGTCTGTTTCTGTGAAAAAGTGGTCCTATCATTTTTGTGAAGGAAGACGGTAAAGAGTCAGAATTTGTGGAAATTTTAACGGAGCTATCATCATCATCATCATCTCATGAAATAAGTGAATGATACAAAATACTATTTCATCTTTTTCAGTGTGTTGTAAGGCACCAGCAGCATCTTTTTCAGTGTGTGTTTAAAGGCACCATCAAGATTGTTTGTTAGCGTCCATTTCTTATTCTAAAAGACAAGAATAAGAATCAATCTTGAAACAACATATGAGTAATTTACAAATTATCTATCATCACCGAATCCTTAACCCACGACGCACTGAATCAAAATATTTCTCCCAACACAAGTAACATATTACATAACTCAACTCAAGCATACAACAAAAGCAACCCACAATAGCACTAAAGAAATAAGGAATCAACTTCTCAACACACTTTCATTTAATAAACTTTATTTTATTCATATTATTATATTTTTTTATATATTATATTATATGATATTATATAATATTATATCAGTAAAAAAACCATCCCTTACAATAAAAACCAGAAGGGGATAGAACTGTTAGCCTATTACAGTACTTACTTACACAAGCTCTGAATTCTCTATCTATATAGAGAATTAAAATTTCATATTAAAATACAAAAACCTGACTTTTGTTTAGGTTAAAAAACAAAAAACAAAATTTCATGGATTTTCACGAAAGACAGCTGCCAAACCAGTCACAACCTTAACTCCAGTCAGCGAGCTTTTGGGTTTCAATTCTGGTGGCTTCCATTCAACCACCACTTTTGACTCTGGCTCATCACGGCTCACTTCAGAGTCACCACCACCATCACCCATCAAAAGCCTCTGTTTTCTCTCAGTTTCTTCACGAGGCCAATTGCAAAACAGAGGTGGTGTGGTTCTTGTGTAAGGAGATAACCATTTTGATCTAACGTATTCGAGTTTTCTCCATGGTGGAACATGCAGACCCTTTTTCTTCAGACTCTGTTTTGCTGCCTCAGAAGCTATGGCTACAATACTTTGTAAGCGATCACTCTTTCCTACGAATACATAAGGAAGCGTCTGGAGAATCGCTTTGTAAGACTTGGTTGATCTAGCAATCTCAAATTCTGACCTGAAGTCAACGTCTATTATCACCCTCTCCTTTCCCATTACCACATCAACGTATTCATACTCCCCTTAAAAATTCAACAAAACAAACAAATTAATTTCAATTACTAATCAAGATATATTACACACAAATAGCAGACAAATGTGCACCAAACTATCCAGACAAACATGCAATAAGCTGCAGCTATCCAGACAAACCTATCGCAAACAAACCAATTTGTTACAAATGATAGAGAAATTACCGGCGATACAGAAAGTGGATTTTTCCCAGCGAGATTTGCAAATTGAAGCATCGTATCCAAGAGTTAACAATCCATCAGTTATAGTCTTTCTGCAATTATCGTCTTTGCGTTTGCACACAGTTTTGTTCTTCTCAATTATCTTTGCTATTTCCGCTAACAAATTCTTTTCATAAACATTTGGACACGCCACCAGACCCTGTCCGAAATAATAACAAAAACGGTTAACAAATTATAATCTAACAACTTATATAGATTACTTAACTTAATTAATTATCAAACAACTAATTTCTCACTTATCAATTACTTAACAAAATTAATTAATAGTAAACTAAACACGCGATTCATACCTTGAGGGTTTCATACACTTCACCGGACGAAGAACCACCGAGCGCGTGAGGTTCAGTGTCGGAGCTATCGTCGAAGTTTCCGTTGAAGCAATTACGAGCACAGGAAACGGAATGTTTCTCTTGATTCTCTTCAATGAAACTCTGCACCATCTTCGCCAAACAAACCGAGCTTGGTTCAAAATCAACGGTTCCATTTCCGTTACCGTTACCGTCCTTGCGTGCATGCACCTCATCGCCGCCGATCTTCTCCACCGGTGGATTCTTCAGAACACCTGAGAACTGACGCTCAAAGAGCCGCTTCAGCCGCGACTTGACAACCGGCTTAATCCTCTCGGCCGGCACCTGAGAATCGATCGGCTGAATCTTCATCGTGAAAGGCATAACGAATCTCCCAAACAAAAATCACAGACACAGAACCGCTTTTTCAAATTTGGCAGAACTTAATTTGAAAAATTCTAATAAACACGATTCTGAAAAATCGCAAAAACTTAAACAATAAACGATCGTCTTAATATTTTCTTGATTAATTTAATTTATACAGAGAAAATTGAGTAAATATGGAATAACTTGAAAACTCTGCTAAGTAAAGTTGCTTTTGCTTAGGGTTTGTACTAAACACAATTAACCTCTCAAACAAAACACGCAACTACGAAATCATGAAATCAAGATCCGTTAACATGGCCAGATTTTCCTCCATAGTCTCCGACGAGTCTTTCAGCGGCGATTCGCAGATGAGAAATTGTTAGCGCGTGAAGCTGTGGGTGAAGAGAGGATAAGGAAAAGATCACATAGCATTGACACTACTTAAAGACAGCGAGTAGAGAAAAACTCAAAAATGAAAATAACGACACGTGTAATCTTATGTGGCGGATTGGAATGGACGCTCCAGTGATAATGAATACCGAAAATGCCCTTGTTGAGAAGGTTGTTGGTCCCGCTATTGTGATAGACTGATAGAGATGGAAATAAAGTTAAGATATGGAAGAAAATGGTTATTGCTTTTGGCTTTTTGAGGAGAGACAAGTGTTGCAGCACGTGAGTTTGACGTGACAATAATAATAATGCACTTCCTTATTATCGTGTTTGAGGGAAAGTTCATAGTTCATTCATTGGGGACCGTTTGGGAAGAGAAAGTTTAAAGGGCAGTTTTGTCACACAGGCATCATTGTGTGTGTGGATCCGTGTAATTGAAAAATGGTGGTTGGAGCTTACGGATTGACTATTTTGTCCCTATTAATATGTTGTTTGTTGGTTCAAATGTCAATTTCGTGTTTATGAAGCTTTAGAGTAGTTAGTTAGTTTCACGGAAAATGCCTCAGCGATCGAAAATTGTGATTGTCGTTTGCTATTGGATCAGCGTTTAAACGCAGCGATTGAAAGTTGCTTTGTACTTGTATGTAATTGTGTAAATTAAATTAATTATAAAATAATTTTTATTTTATATTATCTCTCGTCTTATTTATAAAAAAAATTATTAGATAATAAATGTATTTGATTTATAAACTCTTTAAATATATTAATTATTTAATTAATTTAAAAATTATTTTTTTATTATAAATGTGATCAAAGAAATATTATATAAAATTAGAGTATTGATTCTTAGAAGTTTTGTTTTGTTGAATTTGTATTATAAAAGTTGTCTTATACGAAACTTTTAAGAATTTGTTGTAGCTTGTTTGTGAAAAATAAGCTAAAGTAAACTCTTATAATTATTACCTGTGGAGTTATTTTATTTGGCATAAATAAGAATAATTCTATTATTAGCTGGATTTTTTTGATTTTGTCAAATGAAAAATCTCAATAATCTATTTAACCATTATTAGAGGAATTTTTCCTTTTAACTTTAACTTTTTTTATCCACAAATTGATATTTATATTTTGTTAAGAAAAACTAAGATCAATTTTGTGACCAAATTAATGTTGATTTAGGTATGTAATTAAAAATATTGATGGTTCAAGGAAACTTTAAAGCATAAGTCAATGCTCCTAAGCATGACTAGCGGTTTCCCTAAATAGCGAACTAAAAATAAAGTTTAAATTTGTTGAAGTTTTAAATATGAGTTTGACTTAGAATCTTATCTCTTTTATTGAAATAAGATCAATAAAAGTTTTGAATTTGACCGATTAAAAATACAATTTTTTGAATTTGAAAAAAGAAAATGCAGAGTTGTTGACTCAAGTAATTACTTTAGACAGAGAAAGTATTGTTGGAATATTTTGTTAAATATTTAATTTGATATTATTATGTAAATATTTATTTTATTTAATTATATATTATTTATGAGTTTTAATTATTATTAATTATATTAATTATTATTGATTATATTAATTATTATTTAATTATATTAATTATATATTAATTATGAATTTTAATTTATGGATTATATTATAGATTTAATTAATTAATATAAATTCAATTCTAAATGAATGTTAGAATACTTTATTTTAAAATAATAAGAATTTTAATTAATTTTGAAATTTTGGGATTCAGATCTTAGATGTCCTAAGAAATGTCGAGACAATGATCTTTGAACAAACACATAATGACAAGGTATAACAATTAAATAGTGCACAAAAGTGAACAACACGCAGCATGTTAACCCAGTTCGGTGTACAACAACACTTACTCCAGAGGCTACAAAGTCAGGAACAAAATTAACTAAGTAGTATCAACTTGTAGACCCACAACAAACTCTCACTAGTTTACGATCTACTCACTTAATCATTACTCGTACTTAACTTCTATCTAAGACCCACCTAGATATGTGACCCTTCTCAAATCTCTTTCGGTCACAATCAGTGACAAGAACACAATTCAAAAGAGTTAGAAGACAAACTTCAAAGGCACAAGATCATTCAATGTATAAAAGCTTATGAATGATCAACAAAACATATAACTCAAAGAACAACCCTACTCTTGTATCAATAAGATATTAGAGAGGCTCGCAAATAACACACGGACCCTAACAAAATACAGCTGAAAATCCACTCTAAAACTAGGTTTGTAGCAAACTATATAAAGCAATTTTCTGGACTGAAATTGGGTTTGAAAAACGCAAGAGAGCAGGAAAATAAGGCTGCAGATTTATCTCCTCAAAAATAGGACTTCAATCATTTGTTTCATAAATTATCTCCATAATTAGAAACTAAGAATATCCCTTGAATTCAGCTTGAATCTCTTAATCCTCAAACTGAGCGCCACATAAGATAGCATAATATTCCCAAAATATTTTGCATCTGTAACAATCTAAAAGAATCAAATTTTCCAGTTGTACACAGTCACGATGTCAAATGATTATGCATAAGATATCTTGTTCAACATGTTTCTCTAGTTGATAGAACATCTTATCTCAACATGTTTCTACTAAGTTAGTTTTATCAAACATATAATGCCAATTACAAAATATAGAGAATTAACAATCTCCTCATTTGCCTTATTTTGGCTAAAACAACTTAATACTCCTTGCACACATAAACAACAAAATAGTTCAGGTTTGAAAATAAATCAAGCACACGCATCAGAAGCGTATCGGCATAACTTAACTAACACCAGAAATATCAAAGGTAATAGCAGCAAAACAAATATATCAGATTGTTAGTTAGTAGAAACTGCTAGCCCAACAACATTATGCAAGAGTCAGGACATCATGTCTGACATTTCTTCAAGACAATCCAGAGCAGAATGAGAACTCCCCCTCAAAACCTGCTAAGTAACACTTCAGAGAATATAAAATTCTTCCCTCAATAGTAGAAATCAGATGGTTAGATCACACACATATATTATTCCCCCTTTTTATCCATAATATGACAAAGGTAAGTAACCACAGTAGCACAAATGCTAAACATATCTTGGGTATTTAACCCTTACAAAATCGTAAGCAAGTAAAAACAAGTACACAAAACAAAACCAAAAGGGGTCACGAAAGCAATAATCATGCATCAGTATCAACATCAACATTAGCCTCATACTCTTCTCATTCTCCATCAGCATCAACATCAGTAGATGCAACAATTCACCACCAATAAAAATATTAGTACTCTTGTCAGTAGGGTCTTCACTTGGAAAGATATCACAATAATGTCTGAAACATGTGTTCCACCATATAATTTATAATGCACAAATAAAGGAGATTTCTTTTTCTTAACACTATCAATAGCCAATAAAATACCAGGATGTAGGTGGTAAGATTGAAGGATTTTATTTACCCCTAACAATAGCAATAATTGCTATAAGTCCTCATAGATACAGATCCCTAGTCTCCTTCTCAAGTTTTCAAATTGAACGGCATCTAAAGCTTTAGTAAAAATATCAACAAGATGATTTTCAGTTCTAACATGCTCAAGAGTTATAACTTTGTCTTCAACAAGCTCTCTAATGAAATGATGTTTGATATCAATGTGTTTAGTCCTACTGTGCTGAATAGGATTTTTGGAAATATTAATAGCACTAAAGTTGTCATAGAATAATATCATGACATCTTGTATGACATTATACTCAGTCAACATCTATTTCATCCACACCAGTTGAGAGTATCTGCTACCTGATATTATGTACTCAACTTCAGCAGTAGACATAGATACACAACTTTGTTTCTTGTTAAACCATTAAATTAGATTGTTTTCCAAGAAGAAACATCCTTCAGAGGTACTCCTTCTATCATCAACACTTCTAGTCCAATCAACATCACAATACCCCATCAGTACTGAATTTGAATCATGAAAATACAATATTCCATACTAACATGTACCATTCACATACTTCAGAATTCTTTTGACTTGATTGATGTGACTCACTTTGGACTCTGCTTGATATCTAGCACAAACTCCAACAGCAAAGCCTATACCTGGCCTACTAGCTGTAAGATATAGAAGGCTACCAATCATTCTCCTATATTAAATCTGATTAACACTCACTCCCTTTTCATCCTTGGATAACTTCAGGTGTGTAGGAGCATGAGTCCTCTTATGGCTGACATTCTCCATTCCAAATTTCTTCATAATATTCTTTGCGTATTTGCTTTGCCAAAGAAAAATGGAGTCTTCCATCTACTTGACTTGTAGACCAAGAAAGTATGTTATCTCACCTACCAAATTCATCTCAAACTCATATTCCATATGCTTGACAAAATGTTGGACCATCTCATCTGATATTCCTCCAAACACAATGTCATCCACATAGATCTAAGCTATCATAAGTTTTCCATCTTTCTCTTTGACAAACAGAGTCTTGTCAATTCCTCCCTTTCTATATCCATGATTATTTAGAAACTTAGTAAATCTCTCATACCAAGCTCTTGGAGCTTACTTTAAACCATACAACGCCTTCTTTAACTTGAACACATGCTTTAGAAATGAAGGACCAACAAATCCTTTTGTTTGTT